GTGCCTGAGGTTAGAAAGTGCATGCCTGTGGCTCTACATAAGTAGAATCCGTTATATTGATTTACAATGCTTAAAATCTTGTTTGTTTTACATATGTTTCATTGCAGGGTAGAATAGTTGATCTAAGACTAGAAAATTTATGGAACTATAGAACTTTGTGTGCTCCAGTATGTTTCTTGATTTCATAAAAATTAAATGCCCGTAAAGGGTATTTCTTTCTCTTATACCCAGCATACATGCAGGCGTAAACATATATTTTGTAACTTAAAAATGGGTTCATATATCGTCTTAAAAAATTAAAAGGTTCATAGATATGTATATAGTGTTTGACATAAAAATAGGTTCAACACTTGCAAAGATTGAAAATTCTTATGATTTTCAATTTTGTTTACGGTGAAATTTGATTTGATCTCTCTTATAGAATAGGTAACATTGGTGGGACTGTCTTTTTCTGTTCTTCAATTTTGAGTTTAATTATTTTATACTGGAACAATATTGTATTCCACTAATCCTTGCACCCACAAAGTGCAAGGTGGTTGAGTTTAATCGTAGATCATCACAAATTGTGGGTGTACATCCGGGAATTCAAGCAATATGTTTCACTCTAAATTGGAGCGAATTTCAAATGCAAATATCCACAAACAGGCATATTAAACTGATGAGAGTTAACAGGTGAAATAGACATTGTTCAAGGCCCTAATTGGCGGTTCTAAAAGATTGGGAAGGTGCAGAACTGTAGTTAGGAATAAGTATCTCTTGAAAGTGATCAAAAATAAATATATATGGTGTACTAAACAAGTTTCATCATCTAGCTAGTCAAGGAACTTGAAATAAATCTCGAATTCGACCTAACTGAAACGTGTAGTGTTGTTTAATAGCCTAGAGAAGCTCCAAGAGTGGGTGGGATCAACAAATCTTGCTCTCAAGTCAACACTTTCACGGGGAGAGAATATGTAGCTTATGCAATTTACATAGATAGGACCCAGTATACTTCAATTTCTGCTCCAAGTTTTCTGCATAACATCAGAAGTTGCTTTTATCTAAGTTGTAGCTTACATCTGTCTGATGTTGTTTTCTGGTTTTTCCCAGTGACTACTCGGAGCTTCAGTTGGGCCAAGGGGATGCTAAGCAGCCATTATCATTTAACAGATTTTTCATTCTGCAAGAAAACTTAGCTCAGAGCAGAACAATTGTTCAGTCCTTAACAAACATTACGCCGCCAAGAACATACAATTCAGGATCAAACAACCCCGATACCATCAATGATGCAATAAATGTAGCATTGGACAGGAAGAGGAAAGCAGCCTTTTGGATTCAAGCAGCACTGGCATCTGATCTCAGTCCAGTCTCTGTCAAAACATTTACTCCCCAAGTGGAGGCTAAAAATGGAGCAGCAAAATCAAAGAAAGCAATTAACATTGCTGATACAAATGACACGAGTGCCGCATCCCATTTTGAACAGGCAATGGAGCAACCGGAGTGGGTGAAGGGGAGAGGTTTGAACAGAGTTATAGAACTGGGGAATTGCCTGCAAGAAGAGTGTGGATCATGGTATTTTGCTCACGTTGAAGAGTATCTAGATGAGGTGTGTGGCGACTTGATTTTCGAGAGATCGAGTAGCCAGATAGCCGAAACAATGTACCAGATCAAGAGAATAAATGACTGGTTAGATTTGATGGTGAAAAGAGAAGGATGTAAAGGGAAGCCTCCATTGGAAGATGCTGAAATGTTAGAAGCTTACGGGAGGATTAGGAACAAGATATATGGGATCCTTCTGAAACATGTAGAGAGAACTGCCAAATTGAATTTGGAAAACAATAAAGCAATTCGTATTTGATTGACTATCATGGATGGATTAACTCTCTAAATTACAATTAAAATCTTAAAACGTATTTAATATTTAGAGATATATGTTCTCTACATATATATGTATATACGTATGTATGTATGTATGTATGTATGTACATAAACGTTAGCAAATTGAAGATGGGGGTGATCCGTGGAGTATATGTAACGTGATGCCTCACGGACGGTACGTGATTAGAACTTTATATAATAAGTTATCTTTAGAAAGAGACAAATTATATATTATAAAATTATTTATATACACATTATTTTTTTTTAAAAAAAATTTATTGATATGACATGGTCGGACCAATCAGATTGAAGCAAACATGACGTGGACCAATAATAATAATATCTAAGAGTTTCCAATGAATAATCATAGGTCGGATTCAACATATGTATATGTGTATGTGTGTATATATTGAGTGAAATTGTAAATATATATATATGTTTTTTTTTGCAAATTTTTTGTTTTTAACAAAATAATATATATTTTTTTCTAATATACTGTAACTGTTATACTTAAAATTAATAATAAATTAATGTTATTATATGAATAAATATGGTGATAAAACATGTAATAATACATATGATTATTAAAAACAGTGAATTTGGGAAGATACAAGCACCTCAAAATAAATAAGAGTTGGTGAAATTTTATTTTAAATTTTATGATATTTTTTATAATTAAATATATTTTTGTATAATTATATAATTAATTATTTATTTATTATTTGCTGTCTCTAACTATTATTTGTTGTAATATATAATTATTAAATATATTAATTTGATTTTACATAATTAAAGAATAAAATAGAGAATAAGAAATTAATTGAAGGGTAATTAAGGAAATTTAAAGAGGGTGGTCCATGGTTATATATATATATATATATAGATTCTCCCATACAAAATAACAAATTTAAGCAAACACGTTTACCTTGTGCTATAAATTAATTTAATAAATCTCATGGATAGAATCGTGACTCTTTACGCTTATGCCTTTTGAAAATTAAGAACCTTATTTATTTATTTTAATACTAATAAACCAATTAAATTTAATTGTGACGTTTCTGTGACAATTACATTTAAGCTTAAAGTATTAAATTAGTTTTTTCAATTTTATAATTTCATATCTATTTTTATTTATTTATTTAGAACAATTTAATCTTTTATAAAAATATTAAATTTAAATATTTTAAAACTAATTTTATAATAATATTAATTTGAATAATCTTGAATTTGAGAAATCAGTTTTTATAATATTACACTATCTAATCAAGACAATTACATTTAAAATAAAAATATATAAAACGTACTATTTGGTTTTTGAAATATTGTTGATATTATATTTAAATTAAAATTGATGTCACTGACGAAAAGAGAAACCAGTTGAAGTTATTACCGTTAAAGAGTTTTAAAGCCAACATGATAACTACGTGGCTGTCATGATAGTAATTTTTGTTGAATGATTTACGTAGTCATCAAAGAGAATTTTGATGCGTGAAATTATACTAATGTATTTTTTATTTTCTCCAATGATTAAAAAAAAAATAAAAAAAAAAATAAAAAAAAGTAAAAGGGAAGAAAAATTCAATTTGGTTAAGAGTAAAAATCTAATTAGATTAACTAAATGTGATTATCATTTATTTTTTAAAAAATTAAATATGATTAGTTTACTTAAAGGTTACGTAAAATATTACATTATATAATTTAAATTATAAAATAATTACTGAAGATTAAAAAATTAATTACGACAAAGCGATTTCTCAGGCTGCGTGATTGTTTAGAGGTTGAAGTCAAAACTATTGACTGGTTTTTACGCTAAAAAAATTATAAAGAATTATTGGGTAAATTATATAATATATAAATTGTAATTAATTAAAAAATTAATAAAATATAAATACATAAATTTTATCTCTATGTAATATATATGTATATATAATTATAACTAGTAAATTAAAAAAAAAAAATTAGGAAATACTATCTGATTTCATGTTAGTTTTATATTTTAATAGTAATTATACATTTATTTTTGTGGATTAGATAATTACTTGTTGAAAGTAAAAAAGAAAATAATAATTATAAATAGTAATTACTTTTTTAAATGATTAAAAAAAAATTAAATAAAAATGGTGATGCTTAATTTTTACTTGAGTCTTTCAACGCCTGATGGAGAAATAGATATTCCAGGGGGAAAAAATAAATAAATAAATAAATAAAATAACAGGAGGAGGGAGGAGAGAGAGAGATTGTAGGGGAGTTTTCTTCAGAGTTCTTCTTCTTCTTCTTCTTCTTCTCTCACACAGTCTTATTATTATCACACGGACAGACCCATTTGCCGTCTTCTTCTTCACGCGATAGGGGGAGTACGAACAAGAAAACAAAAAGCACAGTTTGTGTTTTTCTTTTTTATTTTTTGCAAGGGAAAAAAAAAACATAAATTTCTCTGTAGAAAAGTGAAAGAGAGGAAAAAAGAAGGGGTAAAATCGGGTGATTCATGGTTTGGGAGAGACGGGTTTGCTCTCAAGTCTTGAATTTGAGTGATCGCTGAGAAACCCGTAATTTATTTTCTAGGAAAGAGTAAAGGGGGGAGGCAAGAAAAATGGAGCTGGGTCTGGAGCAGAAGTCAGTGAGGAAGCAGTTTCTAGGGTTCTTCTTTTCGTTTTTGTTGCTCTCCGTGGTGCCGATTTCGATGGCGAAATTCGTGGTGGAGAAAAACAGCTTGACGGTGACATCTCCTGAGAGGATCAAGGGGACCTATGATAGCGCCATTGGTAACTTCGGAATACCTCAGTACGGAGGAAGCATGGCGGGAACTGTTCAGTACCCTAAGGACAACCAGAAGGGCTGCAAAGAATTTGATGAGTTCGGGATATCGTTCAAGTCCAGACCTGGAGCTCTCCCTACCTTTGTTCTGGTCGATCGTGGAGGTAACCGCTCTCTAGTTTGACTCTTAGTCTGAGATTTGGGGTTTAGTTGACTGGTTCGGGGTTGATCGAAGGGGCTAGAAATTCATTGTTTTGTTCTTTGTATACCAAGTTGAAGATTTGGATTTGGGGAAATAGAAAACCCTTTTGTTAAATCTGAATAATTTCTCGTGTTTCTCGCAATTCTAAGTCTTCTATGATGTTGAGATTCTACTTGTTTGACCTCCATTATCACCAGTTTCATTGAATTTAAGGTTCAGTTACCTCGGTTTTGGTTTACTGAGCCGTCTTCTTGGTTACTGGATTGATTTTCTTGCTCTCATATCGTCTTGTTCACAGATCACGAATTGTTTTTGCAGTTTTCAGCTGTTTTATCTTCTGTAGATTTGGGATTATTGACTGGGTATACTCTAAGTTAGGTCATTTTCATTATTTGGAGAGTGAACCGTTCTTTAGTTTGATTAATTTCTTTATTTTGAATCGGGATTATTTTCTTTTGATTTATTTGAACTGTTTACGGTTGAAAAAGCTTATTTCCTCTCTCTTTGGATTTTGATCGAAAGTCCCTTTGAAATCTAAATATTAGAAATTTAATTGATTCGAGGAATTACCCTTCAGTTATCATTATTATAGTGGCTTGAGGAATTGCCATTCAACTTTTGAGATATGACGGTTTTTATTGTTAACTTATTTGGTTGACAAAGGACCCATTCGTCAAGTTAACTTGTATAGAGTCTGTTTCTCTTTTCTTGATTTATTCTGGAGGTTCCACTTTGGATATTTTCTATTGTTATGGGGGGGCTTGAGGTTATCTTGGCTTCTAGGTTTATGTTGAAGGTCGAGGAAGCAGTTGTTTCCTTTGGTTGATAGAAGGTGTATCCCATTCAAGAATTGCTATTCTGATTGTTCGTTTTGGATTTTGAAGTTTAGACTGTTAGCTTGATTGAGGTGTGTGTTTTTACTAAATTTAGATTAATTTTCTTATTTATTATTAGTCTTCTTACGTTCTAATCTATTAAAGTGATGTCAATTTTGTCTGCTTGTGATTGATTCAGTCAGTTATTAGTATGAAGTACGTGATGTCCAAGTGGGGTTTGTTTACTTGATGATAGCTTTTTAATCGATTCTGAATTTTGTATATTTGGTAACGTTTCTTCCATTAGGCAGTTTCAATATACTGCCAGAGTTGCTTTTGCTCGATTCTTTGGTTCTAGCATTGGATTTCTTTTCCTGCCTTAATTATATTTATGGAACTAGTAGTTCATTGGGAATGAAAATTTTCGTTCATCTACCTGCGACCTTTATCTGCTTCAATTTTTACCAAATGATATCCCTGTTTATGCTAAAAGTTAAGGGCTTTATGAATTTAAAAGAACAAGTGTGTAGTGTTTGCTCTCATCAACTGGAGCTTGTTCTGCTTTGCAGATTGTTTCTTTGCTTTGAAGGTCTGGAATGCCCAGAAAGCTGGTGCTTCTGCAGTTCTTGTTGCTGATGATGTTGAGGAAGCTTTAATAACCATGGACACACCTGAAGAGGATGTTTCATCTGCTAAATATATTGAGAATATAACAATACCATCGGCACTCATTAGTAAAAACTTCGGTGAGACATTGAAGAAAGCAATTAGTGGCGGTGATATGGTGAATGTGAATCTTGACTGGAGAGAAGCCGTTCCGCATCCTGATGATCGTGTGGAGTATGAGTTGTGGACCAATAGCAATGATGAATGTGGGGTTAAATGTGACATGTTGATGGACTTTGTCAAGAACTTTAAGGGTGCAGCACAGATACTTGAAAAAGGTGGTTACACTCAGTTCACTCCACATTATATAACTTGGTATTGTCCTCAGGCCTTCACTTTAAGCAAACAATGCAAGTCCCAGTGCATCAACCATGGAAGATATTGTGCTCCTGATCCTGAGCAGGATTTCGGCATAGGTTATGATGGAAAGGACGTGGTTATTGAGAATTTAAGGCAGCTCTGCGTATTTAAAGTGGCAAATGAGAGTGGGAAGCCATGGATCTGGTGGGACTATGTGACTGATTTTCAAATCAGATGCCCTATGAAGGAGAAGAAATACAATAAGGAATGTGCTGATGCTGTCATCAAATCTCTTGGTAACAGTTCCATCATGCATTCCCTAGAAAGAGAAACAGAAAGAGAAAGATACTGTTGATTTCTCAAATTTATTAATTTTAAATGTTTGTTGTCTCCGTGCAGCGCTGGATGCCAAAAAAATTGATAAGTGTATGGGAGACCCTAATGCCGATACTGACAATCCAGTCCTGAAAGAAGAACAAGATGCTCAAGTAATAAAATCATATTGATAACTTTTATGCAGTTACTATTATGTTTTTTTGTGTTTGGAAACTGCAGCCAATAAATTATTGATATTGATTTTGACAAAACATTTTCTTTAGATTGGGAAAGGATCAAGGGGTGATGTCACCATCTTGCCAACCCTTGTTGTCAACAACAGACAATACAGAGGTTAGTTTTGTGTTTGTACTTCTTGGACAGAAATTCGGATGTTTTCTTTCTAAAATATATGCGTGCAGGGAAGCTGGAGAGAAGTGCTGTTCTTAAGGCTATCTGTGCTGGTTTTGAGGAGACAACTGAACCAGCTGTTTGTTTGAGTGGTGGTAAGTGTTTTTGTTAGAAAAGTTATATTCCGAGTCTGTGATATTCATGGATGACTTGGGGGCTATATCCTGATTTTGCATGTTGATACTTTTTGTCTTCATCCCAAAAAAAAAAAAAAAAACTGATGCAAGTGAGAAACATGCTGGTCACTAGCTCAAGAACCTACTTTAGCCAGAACCTGCTCCCAGTAATGGCTTTGTTCCCGAGTTACATTTGTTCTTGATATGACTTTGTTGACTGGGGAAATTTTATTTTATGTGGCAGATATGGAGACAAACGAGTGCTTGGATAGCAATGGTGGTTGTTGGCAAGATAAAGCTGCCAACATTACAGCCTGCAAGGTACATATTAAAATTTACATGTTGGAAGTCTTTAATTTGTGATAAAATTGATTGTTGCACTCATCTATGCAGGACACTTTCCGAGGGAGAGTATGTGAATGCCCCCTGGTTGATGGTGTGCAGTTTAAAGGAGATGGTTACAGCCTTTGTGAAGGTAAAATGTTATTTTGAACTGTTTACTTGGATAATATGTAAACAGGGAAGTTATGTTAATCGGTGGAGTCCTTGTCCAACACTGGAGATGACAAGTGGTTTATATTAACTGGTGTTTAGCTGTGTCAGTTGTTTGCCAATGTGGCACCTTAGAGCCAACAGTGATTTATGTGTAGTCGTATCTGGCCTATGGCAGGTAGGTCTTCGAAGTAGATGTATCGTAGATAGGTTGAGCATATATTTCTTACTCATTTACTTTTGATGCCCCCTCAGCTGACAGACTAAGAAAATTATTTTATGAACATGTTTAACATCTGTTCAATAACTGTGACCGACAGAGGGAGCTATGCTTTTATTTTGTTCATGGAATTGTTGCATATAATATTTAAGCAATTGTTCTTTTTGGTCTTGAAGCAAGCGGGCCAGGGAGATGCAAGATCAATAATGGAGGATGTTGGCATGAAGCCCGAAATGGACATGCATACTCTGCTTGTCAGGTTAATTATCTTCATGGATTTTATCTGTTTTCCCCTCATTGAACCTGTCTCTTCATTTATTTGGGGAAAAAAAAGGTTAACCCTTCTCTACATAAATGCAAATATTTTCATATTGTTGTCCCTGCTGTGAATAGGATAGGGAAGATAAAAAGTGCCAGTGTCCTCCAGGGTTTAGAGGTGATGGAGTCAACAGTTGTGAAGGTGAGGAATGTGCATTATCTACTATCCAGCTGCATTTGAAAAGACAAAATAAGTCGCTTTTTTGGAAATAAGCATGTATAAGTTTGAACCTGATGGGATGTAACGTTGCAGTCTGGCTGTAGTTTTATTTTAAGAGAATGACAAAACTGTAATGCTAACACTGGTTAGCAACGCCAATTATGTTCATCGACTCTGAAGAAAGGATGACTGCATCACTGCTTACGTCTTGTCTAAATATCTTTGTCCTGTACAGATATCGATGAATGTAAGGAGAAGAAAGCTTGTCAATGCCCTGAATGTAGCTGCAAAAATACGTGGGGAAGTTACGAGTGTAGTTGCAGTGGAGGGGACCTGTTGTATATCAGAGACCATGATGCTTGTATAAGTGAGCTCAACAAATCAAGATTTTGGACCAAAATTACCTGCTTAGAAAGATGGGATATATGGTGGTTGTATAACCTTTGTTCTGTTACATAATTGCAGGCAAGAACTCGGAAGAAGGAAAATCAGCCTGGACTGCGGTTTGGGTCATTGTAATAGGCTTGGCTATTGCTGCTGGTGGAGCTTACCTTATTTACAAATATAGATTAAGGGTAAGCTTAGAGAATTACATCCCCTCTATTGCCTCCATTTCTATAATAAGAAAATCGGTGGATTCAACTTTTATTGCCCAAAGGCGATGTCTGTTCCTGTTTAGGCATTACTATCACAGATAAGGTCCTCACTTGTGATAATTGTTAGAAATCATGCAGTTGCATTTTAGCATGTTTTTGAACTGGAACCGTATATTGCTGCACCAGCGTATCTCGTAGATTATTATCTGGAAAAAAATCTCCTTTGAAATTATCGTTTTAAGCTTAAAAAAAGGCCTTTATAGGCAGTTCAGTATTGTTTTAAGCTTGCACATGTTGTTGATAGGGTCCTGACTATTTCTTATTTAGTCTCGTTCATAGACAGGCTTTGATGAAGCTTCTGAGCATGACTTTGTTTGTTTTCAAGAGAAAATGAAATATCATTGAAAGGCACCAAGAGGTTGCTGCCCAAGATCAAAATAAGATTGGAAACTAGAAAATGCTCCTGAGCATGACTTGTACTTTCTGGCTGCTGCTACTAACTGAATTTTTTTGGGTCCTAAAAAATATGTATTGTTGTTTTTGCAGTCCTACATGGATTCAGAAATCAGAGCTATAATGGCGCAGTACATGCCTCTGGATAGTCAACCCGAGATTCCGAACCACATGGGTGAGCAGCGTGCATGAAAAGCAGAACCCACACAAGTAATCCATGAGGATTTCAAGTGAAGTGATGATGTTGGATGTGGTATGCCCGTGTCTATTTGGTCGATTTTGAGCGTGGATCTTGAATTTTCAGTACCATGTATAGACAATAAAACTCCGGCAGATTAGAAAAGGAAATTGTTGTGTTATTTATTTAGGACTCTGTCTGCCTATTAGTTGAAAATTTAGAGACTTAACAGGGGCAGATCATAAGATTTTACTTTCGAGTTCATGAGATGTTGTTTTTAATTTATATGGACGATCTATAATTCACGAGAAGCCAACATCACGCTGGATATATATATATTTTACTTCAGAGTGAAGTAGAATTAACAGTTTTTATCCATACTAGGAAGTATTCGATTGTGTTTGTTGAGTAATGCTGTGTCAGTGTCGAGTTGTGTTTGCCATTCTGTTGATTTTCTTGCTGGCATTACCAACAGGTACGTTCTTGGCGGTAGTGAAATCTTGATTGTAAATCAGATATATGAGTAGGCATAAATGATTTGAAAGATGTGTCACGAACCTGATACGTGGTTCGGATCTGGAAGAAAGACGAAGAAAAAGAGAGAAAGTCGAGGGAGAAAAAGAAAGAAAGTTGAAAGTCGCGGCGAGATTTAATAGAGAAATATACTCCGATTTCAGTAGTTTTTCTCGATTCATCTGATCCAAACTCTATTCGGTTAATGAAAACAAAGCACTCGTGATTTTCTTATGTTGATTTTTGGATGGATTCATGGTTTTTATTAATTGAACGTGTTGGGGTCATGCAGATTTTATGATGAAGATGTTCATATAATATAACTCTTTATCTCACTGTCATTTATATATGTATATGTCATCTTTTCTTTTTATTATTGTTATTGCTCACATGCATGTACCGTAGATATAAGATAAAATAAATGTACGTACATGTATGTAATTCTATCATCTGTTTTCCCTTATGATTCATGTATGTAATCATCATAACTATATCATCATCATCATCATCAAAGTATATATACTATATAAAATGGGTAATCAATAATAAATCAAGTAAACTAGCCAAAATTACTTTCGTCAACCTACATGACTTGACGATTAAACATCTATGGTATCCTATAATATAAATATAATAGTTATATATTTTTTACTATCCTTACTAACTCACTGAGATATTACTACGATAATATGTGTATATGTGTATGTATATATATGTGCTAGAAGCAGTTATACTCGATTGTTAATTACATACTTATTCGCATATTGAAAAATATTCAGGAATTTCCGCGCTCCAAGGGCGTATTCACAAATTCACTTTTTAAAAAAATGAACAACTCGATTAGCCATTTTGATGGCTGTATATATGTATATATACATATATATATTTATATATATGGGGGTAAAATTAAACTGCAAGAATAAGGTGCTTAAGTGGATTTTCAACAATATCTTTCAGCTCTCTCCAGAATCCCAATTATACAGAAGCAAATCTTCTATAAAATTGTCTGTCAATGCATGACTTTAACAATAAAGTGCTTATATATATATATATGTATGTATATCGAATAATCTGGTCAATTTTCATGAGTGTTTATCATGAACATGATGGTTATACCAGAAAATTTCATCTACTTGTGCAAATTAAGGAATATAGTACGATTTTATGGCAAAGATCACTTGTTTTTTCATATAACATATTAAAAATATATATATATATATGTTTAGCAGAAACTTCCATCTTCAACCATCATCTTAAGGTACTGGTTATCTTCAGATCAAGTCCTATGTCCATTCCATTGTATGCAATAGGTGCATACATCCATAAATCATCAGAGCTCAACAGCTGCAACAATTAAAACAAGATTTAGGAATACATATATATATATATATATACACACACACATATATATATCATCAGTAAAACTTATAACAAATTAAGATCATTTGATCAAGTGGGTTTTTATTAATTATTATTAGTAATTAATTTATTGATTCGTATCAGTGTAGCAAGAGTGACCGGATCAGTTTCTCACCTTAATCTGGAGCTGCAAAAATTTCACATAATGGACAGCTTCCTCAAGCATTGTGCTAATATCAACCTGCAATATATTGTTGATGACCCGTAACTTAGATTTTCATTCACAACCCAGATTTAGCAGATCCTTATATAAACGTATATATACATATATCTATATGAACATATATATAACCCCCAGAATTTCCACCCATGTTTACCTTTGTTCCATTTGGGACGAGGCTCTGCAAGATCCGCAATCTCTCATTTATCCTTTCTCTTCTTTTCTGTAATACAGAGAGCAAAAAATTTATTCATATATATTTTACTACTACACATATGTTTATATATATGAAAAACATAGTATGTAAAGATAGTTACCCTAGCGTAAAGGCTTTGCGGGTCAGTAGCTGCACCCCTGTTGGCTCTTGTTTTGCCATTCACGTTAAGTGCTGCTTTCCCTTTAGAACTCAAGCTTGATGTTGTTGTTCCTCCATTGATCTCCTGAGACGAACCATTCGAGTCATCTTCCTCAGAGCAGCAACTGCTCGAGCTCTGCTTGTAATTATTATTCCCACCGCCATTAATGTCTTCTTCCTTGTCGCTAGCGGTTGACACACTGCTCTTCTGGTTCTTCTCCTTCTTCACTCTCACATTCCTCTTGCTCTTCTGAGCCTAAAGTAATAACCTTTATTTAGTCACACATATATACAAAAACTTGTAATTATATCAATCCCTACTTAACTAAATGAACAGCTGAATCAATGGCACCTATATAATGGGTGGTGGGTTTTGAGTTTGGTGTAAATGTATGCGTATATCTAGGGTAATATATATATATATATATATATATATATATATATATACACAAGTTACTCACATCTGCTGGAACTCGGGTCCTCTTCTTGGAATTCTGTGTAGGATTATTAGTGTTGTGGGGTGGTACAATCATGATCTGTGATTCAGATTTCTGCTGAGATCTTTTGTCATCAAGAAGAGGTTGTCCATTATTTTTACCGGAAGAAATAGGAGTAATCTCGTCGGCATTGCCATGGTCACAGCTCATGATCTCGAGGTTCAACCAGTCATGATTATCAGCTTGATCTATTAGATAAAAGTTACTGTTCCCATCTATGTTGTTATTGTCATTATTTTCTTGATCTCCCATGCAAAACTCCATTGGCATGGAACCACTGCTACCAAAACTGTTGGCTAAAATCGGCATGTAAAAGCCCTCGTTCATGCTTGAAGAAGAAGAAGAAGAAGGAAAAACGACACTACTATTATTACTACCACCATTAAAATTAGTATTAAAACAGAAGGAAGTTCCATGAATGGCCGCAGCTTCTTCGAATCCCGCCATGCTCATTCTTGATCCTCCATGGCCAGCCACCATGTTCATGGGGTCACCTTCCCCGGCGCAGGTTCCTAGCAACTGAGCCAAGAAATCAGCTTCCTCAGTGGTGTACATTCCGCTGAGAGAGCTCCATTCCCCCTCTGCAATGGCACCCATTGATTCCATTTTCTCTTTGATGATCAGCAGTGGAGAATGTATATATTAGGGTTCTTGTCTGTGTTTTTGTTTTAAGTCAGATGGAGATTGTAAGATGGAGAAGCTCGATTCAAAAGGGTTTGATCGATGCTTGAAGAAGAAGAGGAGGAGGAGACATATTTATACCCACCAGGTGGAAAAAAAATGTTCTGAAAATTAAGCATATAATTTTGTTTACATATAACAAAAACATACAATCGATTTGATACATAATTTCTTATAAAAATTAAAAAAAAAATACCAATCATTCAATAAAAAATACTCAATCTTTATCTAATAATTTAATTCTTGCCACACTTTAAAAAAATTATTAAAAAAAATAAAATTAAAAAAAGGGTGAAGTACAACTCAGAGATAGACTAAGTATAGGTTATAATAATTGGGATTTAAAATAATAGAGTACATAAACAAGCTCTTTCAGCAGCATTAAACGTTCCCTTAATTAATTAATTAGTAATTAATCAGGATTATTCCAATTGATGAGATCAGTCCAAATATAATTTGATACAGGTGATTAAATTGACTTCTTACATAAGATATATCCAACTTGATTATAGTTTTTAAGAATTCATATAGATAAAATGTCTTGAAAAGATTGAGAGAAATATAAAACGCGGAAGAATTTAATCTCAATAATGAAAATTGATCCAATATTCGTATTAGTGTTAACAAATCGACACGGAAAAAAAAAGTGCATTTTAATTATCAGGAAGACTTATTTGCCGTAGCGTCTAAAAAATTTGTCAAAATATATTTTAAACTTGAAAAATCTTAAAATTTCTTTATAAATACTATTTCATTAGTAATTATTCAAATTTACCAAGCCAACGTAGATTGATCTACTTTTAGAATCGTTGCGATTGAGAATTAATTTTTGTTATGCAAAGTCTTGCTTTTGAATGAACTTATTATTCAAAAGTGTTATTCAGAACAGGGATATAAGTAAGCTCATTGAGAAGAACTAATCTAACTTTATGCATATGCATCAGATCTATGAAGATATTATTATTATGCAAGAAAATCATTTGCATTCTGAGAGATAAACATGAAAGAAAAGTAAGCTTATGACATACTCAGTTGGTAGTTTACTGAAGACATTTTTAAATTGGCTAGATTTCGTGATATCTAAATAAATTTCACCATAAGATATATTCATTTCCCTTTTATGCAAATTAATATTAATGGTGAGGTCACGAAAATCTTTAAACCCCCTTGAGGCATACGACAAGGGGCCTTATTCGCTTTACATTTTTGTCCTATATGTTAAAAGATTAGGTCACATAATTCATTAGGAAGTCTTTGAGATAAAACGAAAACTGATTAAGTTGGGATGATATGATCTTATTCTCTTTACAAAAGTTAACTTAGGTCAATTAAAAATGATAAAAGACTATTTTTGAGTCGTTTACGACAGCTCTAGTAAAAAAAAAAATCAATCTCGCTGAGTCCATAATTTTTTTTACTCGCAATGTAAATAGAGTTAACATCTATGAGTTACATGCATTTAGCTTTATCATTGCTACCTTGGACCATGAGAGATGCTTTAGTATGCCCATGATCCACTTTAGCACTAATTGTAACACTTACCATAATATTATAGATCGAGCCTAAAAGAGGTTTCAAATCGATAAAATCCTCACTTATCTATGGTTGACATATGACTTTGGCTAAAATTGCCTTGATGTTTATTCCTTCTTATTCTATCCAAGGTGTCTTCCATTTTTCTTTAATTACTTCTCACTTAGATAAGATGACTAGAAACTTCATCTAGGGTATGGGATAAGGGGGATAAAAAGGTCCACTTTGTCAAGTGGTTTACGGTTTATCAACCCAATAATAAAGGTGGTCTTGGTTCATGATATGAGCATCCAAAACACCACCCTCCTCATGAAACTCTAGTAAGTTGTGGGTTCAAGTAATTCGAGCTAAATATCTTTTCGGTTAGGGAGTGGAGATTATTGATTTAGTCCCTTATTGAGGATTTATTATTTAAAAACATATTCTAGGCATGTCTAAATGCTCAAAGAAGAGGTTAATGGGAGATTGGTAACAAGAAGAGTATCAACTTTTAGAAAGATATTTGGATTGATGATAAATTTATCCTATTCCACCTTACTTGCTCCATTTTTTATGATAACTTGAAAAAACCTATAGACTCGTATCTGAATTAGGAATGAACCTAGAAATAAAGTGAATTTGATGACCTCTTTTTGAGTATGATCTGTTTGAAGATCAACCACATCAGGTTTGGATTGAATCTTTGGAGCCAAACAAACCTATTTGGACTTATTTGAGCGATAATAGATTCTCGAGCAAACTTGCCAATGACCTTCTTATTTCCCGTAAAAAGACTCATCTTGAAGTACATTGAAAAGTTGTGTGGTCCTTCTAATCCCTGAAAGATTCAACAATTCATGTGGTTGCTTAGCTCAAACTATCTTCTTAAGAATGTTGAAAGAAAATAATGTAGTATAACTAATGAAAACCGATGTTCCTACATCATACAAATAGAGAGGATTCCTTACATGTTATTCGTGATTATCTTATATCAAAACAAGTTTGGAGAGAATTAATTGATTTTAAGTTCTTCTTCCTTTTGACAAGTGGATCAAAAAGAACTTAAAAACAAATGTTAATGCTCATGACATCGTCGACCGAAAAATAATTTTCTTACTTTAACTTAAATTCTTTAAATAAAAAAAAAAGGAACATGATCATTTTCGAGAATGGTGATTACAAAGAGAATCCCTCTTATTCAAATTGTTCATTTAACCATAAATTACCAAATTGGCCATAATAACTCACTACCTCATATTGGTATGGAGAACCATTATGGTTTTCCTTAAGTTGGCTGGAAATCATCTCATTCAGATTTATTCAAGTTCGACACCAATGGCTCCGTGCATGGTGACCTAAGGAATGCAGATGTTTGTGGTCTCATCAGGAATAACCATGATCGTCAAATTATTAGCTTTATCCGCAATCTCAATACTAGTAGTTTGATGTTAGCCGAAGTCCATAGGATCTTAGAAGGTCTTAAGTTTGTCTGGATATAAATGATCATAAAGTTCATTATTAAAGTCTGACTCTTTTTAAGCCATGTAACTTCTTCAGAATCACTGTGAGAGTAGATTAATATCGCAGAAGTTAAAAACTAAATCATGACTATTTTTAAGTTGAATTGGATCATTCAAATATTCTATGTACAACATAAAAGTAATACTCGTGCAAATCATATAGCTTAGCGGGTTCACTATATTCTTGGTAGAATGTACTCTTTATCTTGATCATTGTGATATTGTTTATACCCATTTAATCGAACATTAATTTTTTTTTTATTATATTTTGTTATTTCCCTTGTTATAAGCTAAAAAAAAAAAAAAATTATGCCTTGTTAAAATAATCAATTGTATTATAAAAAAAAGAATTTCAAATATGTATATATATATATATTCTTTTGGATCAAAACCAGTCAATAAAATTACATCTGGCAATTGATAAGATAGAACGTGGTGGGGGTTCATGTCTTGTTGATTAATTAAGATTAAGGAGTATTAATTAAGAAAGTAATTATGAAATTAATTAATGAAATGGACGGCAGATAAAAAAGAGAATGGAAGATCGTGAATCAGACATTCTCAGAAGGAGACAAAGTATCCGACGAGACTGATATTTTGTCTGGTTATGATCTTGTTGATGAATCCTAACTTTAACTTGCTGTGTGTTGTCTGAATCTTGGAATCTCTATCTGATCTCTTTCGTTGTATATGTGCAAGTACATTTTTGTTTTGTTTTTTTTTTTTGGGTGTGACTTCATGGGTTGATCATGGATTATTATTATATTAATTCAGTTTAAGATCTAATTAGTCTTAATCGAGTATTAAGGAATGTTAATCTTGTATTAACTAAAATATCTGCAAGATTTATTACGTACGTATTTATGGTTCCCATGGAAATATTAAATGATGTTAATAAACCCATCTCAATCAAATATTAAAATCTATAATATATATATATATGTTCGCCCATATAACATAATGACCTATTATACATATATATATATATACGTGTGTATTTAATTAACTCTATGTTCATTAAGCATAAATATTAGTGGATATTAATTACTTACATCCAAACATTGGCTAAGTATTATGAGTGTAATTACATATCAACCGAAGTGTAACCTACAATGAGTTTGAATACATTAAGAATGCTAATTTCATGTGTGTTTAAAGTATAAAAATCAATTAGAGACTTATATAATATTGTGATATAAGAGTTTAAAGGTGTAAATCTTGTATTTCTTCTATTTTCAATAGATATATTGTGTTATGTAGTATGATATATTACGTTTTACTAATACAAATTATTCATATATATATATATATAGTTTTTACTATTCGTTTAAAAATAAATAAAATAAAAATATTGATCAGATCAAATTTGTTAAAAATATCGTTTTGATCCTATTAATTTATTTGATCGAAGTGATTAAAAATTGAAAAATTAAGTTATTATATTGTATTTTCCAGTACTATTTTATCTAATTTATTCTGATTTTTTGCATTATTTTATATGGGTATCTACAATTTGACTTTCATGATTGATTTCTAGCTTTTGTTCATCATATAAAGTTTTTTGTGGTATGAAAATAAAACTATATCTTATAACATCATTTATGAAATTCCCACGTGTGTGTGTGTGTATATATATATATATGTATATTAAAGATTATCACTAGAAAGTGAGTTTTTTTAGAGTAAAATCAAATTTGAAGGGTTTCAATTCCAAATTTAATTGAGTGTGACAAAACGTATTGTCATTAATTCCTAATTATTCTACAGGTACCAAACATTTTAATGTTGTTCTTGTTGTCATTGCTGACATCATCAAATTCTCTTTCTATATATATATATATATTATATCCATATATATTTGCTTTAAAAATGTAAATTTAGCCTTAACCCATC